TCACCTCCAGATTTCGATGAGCAAACTAGTTCACCCAGCGGACACATGGGAAGGCTACAAAGCCCAGTACGCGGTGCCAGAACTAAGAATTCCAACAACTGCTGAAATAACAAGGTGAGGGGAGGGGGGGCTTTTTACTCACAGGCTTACCCTTTTGACACAGGCACGAGGGACTGATCGACGACACGCTGACCTACCCTTTCTGTACGCGCCGAGAAAGGGGCAGGCCTCCGAAAAACCAACGGTTGATCAGTGCATTTGAGAGAAATACTAAAGGTACCCCCCCTTTATATTTTCTTTGTATTTGATCTATTCTTGCTGCAGATGGTTGCCAAAAAAGAACCAGAGTTCCGAAATGTCAAGAGTGCGGCAGGAGGGGTCACTGCTTATCGAGAAATATGGGCGACTGGGAATCATGTCGCTGTAGAGATGTAAACAGAGAGGTGCGTAGGCAACGAGCAGCAGGGTTGCAATACCGAGAGAGGCGAACGGATTTCATCCAGCAGCTCGCAAAGAGTAAAGAGTACCAGCGTATTAACGACCACGACCTCGACGCCTGGGCTAAGATATTTGAAACAGTGGCAGGGCTAGAATCCAATTCCGAATTTTTCGATGAGCGTGACGAGGATCATCAGAAGGAGGTAAAAGCGGCCTACAACGCCGCGGTGCAGCGACACGAACAGGAGCAGGAAGCGTGGCCGAGCAGGCAAATCGGACAGTTCCTATTGTTTCACGCCAAGGCAAGAGATGAGCAGGGTTTACGTTCTCTGACAATTCAAGGATGTAGACCCAGTGAATGGCAGTGGCTTTATGATGCATTCCGCGAATGCTCCTTTGATCGCGTAGACCTCGACGACCAAGTTGTTTGGAACCACATAATGGAACAATATGTAGAAGTGCAGAGTTCGCTCCTGTTCCATGATGATGATGATGATGATGAAGGACCAGCACCAACACCAGGGCCACCGCCAGCGAAAGAACCACAATTTGGGCTTCCCCCTGATTTATTAACTTGGCTCAAAGATGAGGACAATTGGCTCCACTGTTATTACAAGGACCCAGCGATAAAAAGTGTCGTGGAAGCGCAACTGGGACGAGAACTCACGGATAGTGAGAGGAGGGAGGCGACGAAACTTGTACGGAGGATGACAACAATGAAGGACAAGAAGGATGAGAGTGATGAATGGTGTGAAAACATGCTCGATGAAAACATCCTCGATAAATGGTGTCAAATGTTGTTTCCAACGCAATCTCAGGAGCCCCTCGCAGCAGCGCCTGCAACAGAAGGGCCAGAAGGAATCGGTCCGAGAGAGAGTTTGAGCACATTCATGCGTAAGATTGATAACCACCTATCGAATCCAGCACGGATGGACACCGAGGAACCCACAGAGTGCAACAAATTACAGCAATGGCTGTTTGCAACGTTCAATGACAGGAATGCAGCTGAGTACGAACCTATGAGGGTGATGTTGCAGCACATAATGACGTCGATGCCAAGCACAGCAGATTTGGAGAGCGGCATTATAGTTAGGGAGCTGAAAGAGATGGGGATAAATAACTGTCCGGAAATTTTCGGGCCAATTTTTGTTCATGCACAGGGCAAGAACGATGGCGGCGTATGGGCCCGGTGTCGGCATCTGTTGCAGTTGGCGCACGGGCCACAAGAGTGGGAAAAGATCTTAGCAGAGCCAGTACCAGCAACAGCACCAGCACCTGCAGAG